TTAATTAGCTTTAAAACACATAGAAACCGGGGGCATTAAAGGGCGTTAGAATTTTCTTACGTAAACATATATAAATTGTTTGTTTTGAAGTTATACATGTTCAAATAATTTTTCGTATTACGCATTAGTATATCATTTATTTGTGAATTGCAAGTTATCGTTATCGTTACGTAGTTATGTATTAACGTTAAGTGATGCTTCATTTCTTAATACAAATTTAAACAGTTTCAATTTACGTATTGATTTTCATGTACGTACGTACATGTATTTCATCTATTAGAGTAACTTTAGTGCGTGTGTTTTCATCTGCTTTCAGACGGATCATCGTTATGATAAAACGAAAACACCTGTTTTTGTTTGATACATGTATGCATGTGTGACTCTTTTCACAAAATTCTTTTTACAAAATACTTACATGTACAAACACTCCTAATCTTTCAAATGGATGCCAAGAATTCATTACCTAAAGCAATAATTCTTGAAGTGCCAATCAATGTCCCACTCAACCGGATTCTAAATAATAGCGAAAAACTTCGCCGAATCGAGATAGCTACTCGTACAACCTTACATTTCACCAAGAGTAACTATAATCCACGAGTAATAATTTACCCCGGACGAAACGCACTCACGACTGATGCACAAATGCGTGAGGCAAAAAGGCACGTGGAGCATCTTTTTGCAACTTCTGATGGCATGGTAGACTATATAAAAATTCCGAAATCGATTTGCCGATCGCGCGAAAAATTTATTGAGGATTTGTTGTCACCAAAGTTGCGAAAAATTGAGGATCAATATAAAATTAATGTGCATCCCAGAATTTATAAGAGTGATCTGTACGCTGTTTTCGTAAGAAAACAAAATCCGAGAAGTGTAATTGAAAAAGCACAAACAGAAGTTGAAAAATTCCTTTCACAATTTATTTTTATTAAACCTAAGGCACTACATTCGATTGATTTCTCCGTCTCGATCAATAATGAGGTCATGCCGATTGACTTGTTCAAGAATAAATTTCAGAAGGAAATTTGTCAAATCGAAGATAACACGAATATAGAATACGATCTAACTAATACTGAGAAACCGAAAATTCAGATCAAAGAACTTGAATTCTCTAGTAATATGTTAGCTAAGAAAGTCGAAGCGCGTCAAGTAATTGTGGGACCAAAATACTTAACATTAAAAAGGAATACAGGTGCATAAATTCTAATAATTCTGATAAAAGAAACAAAAATTTTCATTTATCAGAAAATTCTGAAAAGTTCCGGCAAAAAAAGTACCAGCATTTTAACTGGGTCAGCATCTTTTGAATATTCAGAAATCATACCATTACAAGGACCAAAACAAAACGACTCGTACAATCGCGCCGCGTCTCATTTTCTTGAAAAAAACTTGGAAATTAATGAGAGAAAATCGGAATTAAATATTAGTTCCATGAATGGTAAAGTTGAAATTATCGTATTGTTCTTTTAATATGGTGTCTAACGTTAAGATCTTTAAAAAATTCGTTTACAGAAACTGAGAACTCGGAATATAACATGTTGTATAATCAGTCCAATACTGAATTTCTTGCTAAATGGAATCGATTTAATACTCAGTGGTTGAAAAGCGGATTTTACGCTCAATTTGAAACTCTCTTTACTGTAAATAAGTAAATAGTACATACATAGTAATAATTTTGAAGAATATTATTTATAATCTATTTATATCGATATATAGAAATTTGTTTCTCTTTACTATTCTAGATAAAAAAATTCAAATTTGCATAAGAAATTATAAGTTTATTCAATTATTTGTATTTATAAAAATTATGCAAATAAAAAATATCGCGTCATCAAATCAGTTTCAAACTGATCGAGTAACTTTATCGTTTCACAATTCCAGGAATGACACTCGGATGCACTGTATCGGTGTCATTGTTATCACGAATGTTATTATGGTTGTTGGTGTTGTTCTCGGTATTTGATGCTGCTGGTTTTTTGGGAAGTGGATGTGCGGAGACGGATAAATTAGCGGTACAGAAGAGAAAGAAGAGAATTGTGAGTAGGATAGGGAAAGATTGTTTTTTACAGATTTGCATTTTTTTTTTGAATTTGATCAAACGTCAGACTTGATGCTAAAGATTATCGTTATCGTTGTATGTATAGACAAAGTATATCGATATACTGTATACGACTATAACTATCACTTTTTACTAAAAAAAATTTCTATCGCTTCTTTTTATATTCTAGGCCATCTCATAGCGATAGTAATGATTCAATACGTAATAACGATAACAATAAGGTATTTAGTTATGATTGTTTATTACATTATGTGATTTATTTGCTTTTGAAACAAAAATAAATAACTCTGTATCGGTATGTTTGTTATGTAAATAATGAATTGTACATGTTTAAATTGAATTACAAGTTTGGTTAACATAATTTTTGCCGTTATCGTTATCATTATCAAGTCTGAAAGTTTATACATGTACGTACACATGCATGGCGAGTGAACCAATAACGATAACGATAAGTGATGATATATCATGTACATACTTATAGTCTTATTTTTGTGGTAAATTTTAGAGTCCAATAAGATCACAGAAAGTTATTTGCTACGTAGAATCAAAGATTATGGAATCAAAAACATGACAATTATATGTACAAATAAGAAAGTTGTCAATTTTTTTTAGCTTTATGCAAGATTAATCTAACGACTCTAAGAAAAAAAATAACATATCAAACTATTTTATTAATTTGAGACATCAATGAAAATTACTATCACTATAAAGTTTTTTTCAACGTATTTTTTTCTGTAACAATATTTTTGATAAATTCTTTATTGCGTGCAGTCAAAGAATCTCATAGAAATAGTAAATCAAGGTTGTGGCACAAAATATATTGACTCCATTATCCCACTGAAGGTGAGCATTGCTTCTACTGATTATTTTAGTTAATTTATATGTTATATTAGAGAATTTAGTTAATGTAATGCCAATATTAGCATTGTAAACTAATTGAAATGTCATCAGCTTAATGAATCAAGAATCATTAGATCAGTCTGTTATTTTTGGTGAGTCATAGATTTTGTCAAGTTAACTCTCACTTGCATGGATAAATGCTTGTATTTCTTGAATCGATTAGTTGCTTAGAGCAAATTAAAAACTATACGAAGAATGTAAAGAGTCAATTGTCAAAGAAACAAAATATCAAATAAAAACACCTAAATGAAGCAAAATACTCCGAATTTCTTTACTTAGGTGTGTATACCTTAATTGATTTTAAAAATTAATTAATTTTTAGTGTCTTGTCTTTCATTATATGAAACGAACTTATTAAAAAAATACATCATAATTATTATTAATTAGCAACAATACAATATCGATACGTATGATAAATTCGGCTATCAGATCAATCGAAATTTATATAATATCTCCGCTAAATTGTGTTCATTTATGATCTTATGTTTGCTCCAATCTTGGATTTCTTAACAACTCAAATGTATAAATATTGAAGAAACATTTTTATTTAAAACTTATTTTAAGATATTCAATATTACATTAAACCATTTCTCCACTAACTAAATAAAAGCGTCATCAAAAGCAACAACCTTAGCCTTTTTTGCGGAATCAGCGACACTAGTTGGTCCGAAGATCCCGTTTGACGATGCAGCAAAAGCGTTATCGACAAAGATAATTTTCTCGAGTTTTTCAGCTTCTGGACCAAGAAAACTAAGGGGATGCATAACTGAAGGAGCACGTTTAATGAAAGCGTTATCATTAGCAAAAACCATAGCCTTTTTCGCGGAATCAGCAACGCTAGATGGGCCGTGGATTCCATGTGAATTTGATGCACCAAAAGCGTTATCGACGAAGAAAATTTTCTCTAATTTGTTAGCTTCTGGACCAAAAAAGGCTGGCGCAAATTTGCGCTTCTCGAAATGGGTTGGAGTAATAATAATTGGGGTCGACAATACAGCGGACGATTCTAAGAGAATGATAGCGATGCTTAAGAAGAGAACGACTTTAGCAGACATTTTTTGATTTAAAATTTTTTTATTTAAAAAAATATTTGTATTATATTAGTTTATTATAAAAATTGATTTGTAAATTTGCTTTTTTTTATGATAAAATTTCAGCGTCTTCAATGTCTTATTTTTATAATAAGTTTAATTCAATGCATCAATCGTATGATGGATTATTCGAATCGATCATAATGATTTAATTGAACGCATATACAATGCGATTTTTAATTCTAATATGTGCATTGAATTAATCAAGCTCTTCATGCATTTAATATTTTGAGTTCATTTAGCATTATCATTTGATGTTGTTGTTGATTTTTAGGATTTTGAAACTTCTTACAAATCATTGAAACTTGCAACTTTTGATATTAATTTATAATTTGAGCGATTGAATTTTATTATAACTAATGTATGCATAAAATAATTTCAGAAGTAATGAAATGACGCACATACATGTATTACCCTCTATTACATATCTAAAATCCAATAGTTTAGTTTCAACGAATATGTTAGACTCTCACCTCTGTAACATCCTTCAATTTTATCTAATTTTTGTATCTCAGTGATTGTTAGTGTTATCAAATGATCAAATGAACAAAAATCTATTTCGGTACATCGATATATTTTAACACTTTCCGACATTTGGACTAAGCGAATTTATATCCAATTAATTTTTATTTCTCAGTATTTTTATCTACTTTGGATGTATTGATCGCATCGAACGAGCTACGTATTTCTTGAAATCTAATACGAGAAACCTCTAAGTGCATTCCCCTTGGGACCATATTAAAAGAAAGACAAAGTGTGCATTTATAGCGAGTAAATAATTAAAGACCTTATAAGTTTGGGAATGATCCACAGCGTGCGTTTAGGGAGGGTGTATATAGTGTGTGTATTTAAGAGGTGCACTTAGGGAGGTTTCTCTGTACATCTAGATCTGTTTCATAAAAACCATCAAGACTCACTGCAAAGCTGTATTCAATTTTCTAAAAGTTCTGATTTGATTCCTCAACAAGATGCTTTTCGAGATTTGGACATAAGTTTTAGAATGGTGAATACTACGAGCAGAACTTGACTGAATCCATGTAAAATAATTTTCTTTAAAAACAGATTGCTTAAAAAATCTGGAAATATTTCAGTCTAGTTGCAAGAAATCTGGATCGATTTCTGAAAGAAATTGGAGGATTTTAAGTTCTAAGCAAAACTGAAATATCATTTAAATTTATTTATTATATTTTTATTTATCTATTTGATTATTCTATTCTATTGAAAAATACTTTATGTTAGTGATTCGGGCTAAAGTATTTAGCACCAAATGATCTGCAAAAAAATTTCTAAATTAGAATTTAGGACACTTTAGGACTTATATGATTATTCAAAGTTCGAAATATTTAGGACTTTGAAAAGTACTTTAGCCCGAATCATTACTTGATGACATTTGAGAATTGAACTTCATCATAGATCAAATATTCTTGCCATTGCATATCTACATGTCTTAAAATTAAAATAACTATATATATAAAAACATATTGCAATTTTTTTATAATTTTATATATCCAATTTATTTTCAACTTTAAAATTGGAATTTTTAATTTTTGAATCAAATTAACAAAAGTATTTTAAAATCGGAAATAAACATACAAATAAAGTTTAGTGTTTTACGTGATATCTCAGGAACTATTTTAATTAAAAAAATACTACACTCGAATGTGATAAATTCATTTGAATTGAAATACTGGTTTCTGAGATATCACGTAAAACTTTAATTTATTAAACATATAAAAAAATAAAATTATGTGATACAGTCAAATCTCTATAGTCACCATCCTTAGGAAAGCAAAATTTGGTGATTATAGAGAGAATGTGACTATAGAGTGATTTTGTTACTATGTTTTTATATAAATGGAAAAGCAAATATGGTGACTATAGAGAGATTTGACTGTATTCATATTTTAATTAAATTATATATATGTGAGTCATATAAGCCAATATTTTCAGAGTTCTAAATATAATAAAATTAATAAAACTTGAAATTTTATAAGTTAGAATAAATTTCGATATAAAATATTTAATAATATCTTATCCAATTTAAATTAAGAAGTTTAAAAAAATTTAATAATCAAAAAATAAAAGTTTTAGATGAGTATATAATGTTTCTGTTTTTATTAGAAAAATTTATATTACTAATTAATGAATTATATTTTTTATTAAATATTACAAAATTAAGCAAATATATAATAAATTTGAAATACAAGATATTTTTGAGAAAAAATTTGCTATTTCTATATTAATTAATTTTAAGAAGTGCTTTGTTTTAGCTTGAAGATAAAAAAATTTTGATCATAATTATTAGTATTTAATAAAAAGAATTTTAGATTTTTGTTTTAATTAAAAAGTTTTAATAAGTCAAAATTTACAAATTGAAAATTATAATTAAGTTTATTTAAATTTACAAAAGAGCTAAAAATAATTTGTTAAATAATGATTTAGAAAATATTAAAGATTTGTAATTTTTAATTATATTATTTGAATTAATATTGATAAAAACAAAAATTCTGAAAAACTTTTTAGAACTAGTGCAATAATTATAAAAAATTATATATATTTTGAACTTAATTTATTAAAATTAATTTTGTTAATTGGTCAAATTCAGTAATATAATTAAATAAGTAAATAACTTACTAATATTGAGAATTAAAAAAAAGTGCAAATATTTTGAGATATTGTATTATTATATTATTATATTATTATATTAGTAACTGTGAACAACTGAAATTATAAGAAGTTATAAAAGAATTCCAGTACAAAAACCAAAATATCTGAAATTATAAATTGATAACACTAATAATATTATATATGTTAATATAGTGTAATATTTGATATTTTTCAAGTATATACGATGCTTAATATCTAAATTCATCAAATATTTGTATTTATAAATGTATAATCTTCTTTACTAAGAAGTAATACAAAATTTTTGTGAATATAATATAATAGACTCTTTTTGAGCATATTCATAGATTAAATTTGTATTTACTGAATAAAATATGCATTTACTGAATAAAATATGCAAAATTTTGATTAACCTGCAAAAAAAATCTGATGCAAGGAAATAAACATGAGAAAAAGTGGATGCCTAGATATAACATGATATATTAAAAATGTCAGGAAGGCAATCTACATATCCTACAATATATTACCAGAAATTTCAAAAATAAATTTGTCACTCTGGAACCTGATAGTTGATATCTGGTGATCCCATTCAAACAAAAATATCACTATTAGATTCATTTCGACTATACGAATCTAATGGTGATACCTTTATTCGAATAGGATCACTGGATGTCGAGATATCAGGTTTCAAAGTGACAAATTCATTTTGAGATTTCTGGTAACATATTGTAAGAGTGTATAAACTTGACTCTAAATCTAACCTTGACCCTGGCTATAAAAAAGCTTTAACTTTAATTACCATTAACCGGGTGCACAAATTTTTGGGTGCTCTTATAGTATTAGGGAATTTCTCCACTATAGATCAACAAAATCAAGTACTGTAATATTAAGTCAACTCTCGTTAAACCGACCATATTTTTCTTCGATTTAATTATGTTTTAATTAAATATATAAAGATATGTATCTCATATATTTTATAGTTTATTCAAATAATTAATTCTGAAATGTAGCGGTAGATAAAGTACGTACCGGTACATACGTATATCGATATGATTTCGTTAAATCTTGTCAATCATGGTACAGCCTTGTACGTACAGTTTAATCTTATCCAAATTCAGTCTAGATCATGCGTGGAAATAATTTTATTACAAGTACCAAACTCGGCTAACAAATCCAAAACTGAAGATGCAGATGTCTTTGTGATTAAATTAGCACATTTTATCGTTCAATTATCATTATGTTTACTGATTTATTTTTATATGTAATAAGGGGCTGCTTGAACATTACGTTTAGGGTTGACTCTCTTTGTTATACATGTAGTAAGACTAATTAAATTCTCGCTATTATAATAAAAAGCCAATCTCCATAATAAATTTGCTAATAAACACAATTTTTGACAATTTTCTCTAATCGAACAGACACTACTATAAAAGCGTCAACTGTATATTCATACTTTCGTTCGAATATTTTATACTCATATTTTCGTTGAATATTGTATATTCATAGTTTAGTTCCTATATTATATATTCATACTTTGCTCCTAAATTATGAATATGAAATTTCGGATTTCCTTTTTGTTTTTATATATTAGTTTTCTAGCTTTTGTTTTGGGTGCTGAATTTAGTCCACCGCCTCGTTGGGGACATAATGCAGCACTAATCAACGAAAAAATATATTATATTGGAGGTTCTCAAGTTAATGAGTTCTTTATCTTGATCTTACCGTGAATTTCACTACAAGCTCACCGTCATACACGAATATCGATACGCTTGCAAATTTCCCATCAATACGTTATGCAGCGGATTGTGCGATTGACTCAAGAATAATATTGTTTGGTGGAAGGGTAAATAAGTTATTAATTCGTTGATTTATTTCCTATAAATGTATTTAAAACTTCATATATAATAAAAATAGCGCTCAGATTCAGAAACATATCAAGATAGTGACACATTGTTTATGATTAATATCTCAAATGCAAATGCATCAGCTACATGGTCTTCTGCTTCTACAAATCTTGCTGGCAATCCAAGCGCTCGAACAAATACAAGAACTGTAATAGATGGTAAAGGAAAATTATACATATGGGGCGGAATGGTTGATCTTACTGGACTATACGATAAAACAATGTACATTTATGATACGACGACATCTTCTTGGGCTAGAGTTACGCCACCAAATGCACCCGAACCAAGGTTCAGTTATTCTGCAACGCTTTTACCAGATGGTCGTATTATTTTTATTGGTGGTAACGTGACCTCGTCAAATAACTCTGTATCAGCAGCAGACATAAATCAAGTAAGAATTGTTCAAGAGCTTTTATTTATTGTGTATTTTGATAATAAACTAATTGTAGTTATTCTAGGTTTTGATATATGACACTAATGTAACCCAAGCTTCTCCGTGGAAAATTATTGTAGGTGTTTTTTAGTGTAAATAAATTTCACTTTTTGATTTATTCGATTTCGCTGATTTTTCCTCATTTAAGAAAGCTAAAACGATACTATGATTCCAGACCGAAGAGGTCATGCAGCCGTACTTGGTAAAACTACGTATTCATTTAAATAAATAAAATCTAACATAGATTATTTTATAATAGCTTCAGATGGATATAGCATTATCATATATGGAAGAATAGGTAATCCAATCATCAATGAGCCTACTGCACTTTTCGTATTAGATACCAGAAAATTCATATGGAAACAAATCAATGGAATAAATCAACCTAAAGGAATTCCTGCATACGCAACTGTAACATTATTCCAAAAGTATATGATTGTCGCATTTGGTAAATTATTTAATTGTTTGAATTTTTAACCAAAGGAATTTCTCTAAACTCTAAATAAATTTTTATTTTATTTTATTTTATTGATAGGCGATTATTATGTTTCAGAAAAAGGAAGCAGCAATTTGACAATTTTGAAAATAGAAGATGACACATACACTTGGGTCAATGAATATATAACAGCCCCACATGCCAGTCCTCTGACTCCTGTTCCTCTTAACATAATTATCGGTGCTGTGCTCGGCTCAGTTGGAATTCTTAGTTTGATGGGGTAATAGCTTTTGTGTTATATAGGCATGACTTAAATGCTCATGAACATTCGACTGAAGTAAGACATATAACAGAAGCAGTCAAACGTGACTTAATTGCTCATGAACATTCGACTGAAGTAAGACATGTATCAGAAGCAGTCAAACATGACTTAACTGCTCATGAACATTCGACTGAAGTAAGAGTGAGCAATTTGCCATCTTATTTTTTGAGGACTGTTTGTTTCTAGTGTTTCACTATTAGAGAAAATTACCCGATAAGTAATGCTGATTCCTCTCAGCATTTAATTTAACTTGTTTTATTTAACTAAATAGAATTTAAGAGGAGAATTTTGCTATTTGTATGTTTGATGTAATTTTTAGACATGTTCACCACAAAATAATCAATTTTCTTGGAACTTTCCCGAAAATAAATGACTAGACATACGTGCCGTATTCAGGTTTCACAATTCAATTTTGTTCAAAAGTACAATTCATGTACAGTCAAACTTCGATTTAACGATGGGTCGGGGATATAGTAAATGTTAATTAAAAAATTCGTTAAATTGAGCTTAATTTAATGATTTTAATATTCACTCTTATGGAAGGAGAAATCTGTGCCAGGTTTATAAGAATGCAAAACTTTTTGGTCAGATCGGCAAAACAAATCCGACATGAGAAAAAAATACAAGAATGTGAACATACACTTAAATCTAGCTTGGGGTACTAATTAAAAACATCGGTGAGGCAATTTATTTATATCTTGTATCTCAACCCTAACCCTAAACCTAAAACCAACATTCTAATGTAATTGATATTACAGTTGTAAGAGTGATGTCGTTAAAGTAAGATATTGATTAGTGACCGTTACATCGCATAGTCGTTAAATCGAGGTTTGACTGAATACATCAATAGCGATAATGAAATTTTATCTTTTTTAGATTAAGAACACACAATTTTCTTATGTAATTTGGTAAATATAATAGTCGTTTACGTTTTAAAATGAAAGAAAAAAATCGATAAATATCTTGTGCCCGAGATCGATGCTCGCGTCAGGTGACAGCTGACGCACCTCAGATATCGATCGTTAGATGATGTGCCTCGGATCATCTGCATTTAATTACAAAAAATCATCAGAATTAAAATACATGGATTCTTCTGTGTTTGACTAATGATGAAGAAAAATCTATACTTAAAATGTGATTATCGGGAATAAGCTACTTTGACTATCGATTGTGCCTGTGTCAACTTTACAAAGTTGAGTGGTCTAACGAAAATGAGAAATCGACAGTTTAATAAGAAAATGCAAGCAATTTATAAAGTATCGTTGCATGGCTACGATAAATGGGGTCACAAAAAAGGAAAATTTAAACTATCCAAATAATACAATTTGATATATTGAAGTCATTACGTGATTCGACGGAAATTATAAATGAGTTAAAAATGAATTAAGTATAAGGAAGAGGCTTTTTTTTTATTTACATACTAACTTTTCAAAAATAAATTTTAACTGTTCTATTGTACAAGAAAAATCGATTGATTTATACATAGTATCACATATTCAACAATAGTCATGCATGAGATCCAAATTAGTGACGAAATTACAAAGTTATGGGAACTCTCATGTTGTTTGGTAAAAATGATGTGCTAAACAAACAAAAAGATTCATAAGGTTAGTTATTTTGGTATATTGTAGGGATAATGGTGTAAAGAAATAAAAAGAATCAAATCACTTGGATGATTCGATGCATATACAAAAGAAAGAATTTCACTATAATAATCATAAAATTACTGTTATCAGTAGTTTTAATAACTATATCTTCATTACCAGTACCTTCTGAACTTCATCTATTATAATATGGAGTTTGAATTTATCAATCGAAAAACTTTTTATGATATTGCGACGATTATCTAATGATCTATCTAAATGTAAACAAGCGAAGGCATTAGTAAATCTGGAGCTTTATAACAAATTAAATTAATTTTACAAAATCCCACTAATATAGCTGTAAAAAAAGTGAAGACAAATATGGTAATAGATGTCATAATGAACATTCATATTAGAATAAGACTATATAAATAATAAAAATTAAGTATAGTCAAAACTTTCTATAGTTATTACTCTTATAAAAGCAAACTTTGATAATTATAAAGAATGTAACTATCTAATTTTATTTACAATGCTTAGAAAAGCAAAATAGAGTAATTATAGACAACAAGAAATATAATTAATAATTTTATAAAAAAATAAAATAAAAATTCTAATTTCATTTTATTATTGTTTTAATAGATTATATATATATATATATATTATTATTATTTTTAAACTTGCTTCTATATTCAACATATTATAAACTATAGCTATATTTCTAATTTCTAATTTTGAATTATTTTATTTTTTTATTTTTTTAGCTTTCTATTATACTGTTTTTTTTTAATTTTTTGTAATAGATTTATATTTTGCTTGGTATTATTACAGTGATTCTGAATAATGGATTTCACTAAGAATTACTATAAGCATATGATGTTGGGAGAGGGGTAATTAAACTTAAGTAAAGAGAATGAATTATAAATATTAGCAAAGGTTTCTAAGGCCTGTGCCAATATCTACGGATAT